ATTTTAAGCTATTAGGTCCTTGATAGCTTAAAACGTCACTAAGACTTTTGGGATACCCTGTTTATGAAGATCATTTCTGGATTTAAAAGTATGAGATTTCATAATTGATAGAAATAATGCTTGCTGAAAGCTTTGCTAGTGATTCTGGGATTCTAGGGGAAAATATGAAAACTTTAGAGAACTCGTGACGTTTATTTTATTATTTTTTTTTCTTGCAATTTGAAGGCAGGACCTCTTAAGAAAAGCAAATTCAGGGAATAAGCTGTTTGGTAAAATAATATTTTAGAATAACATGCAAATTTCTAGACTGTGGCTTTAAAATATAGGGATATTGAGCTTCTAGCTAAAAATGGAGTGAAAGGAATTGATAAAAAATATATTTCCTTGATATCTCATAAATAAGATCAAGAAAAATGGATTAGGGTAAGAAGAACAAAACAATTCTCTCCCAAACTAGTTAACATAGAGAGTAATAGATACAATATAGGGAGAATAGCAGTAGAGAAGCTCAGTCAAGAGTGTGTCAGGGTTTGAAACAAAGAAACCCTGTGGCCTCAAGTGGCTATACACAAGTACACAAAATATAGCTAGTAAAGCAAGATGATCTAGATCCTAACACAGAAAATAAAGTTCAGCCCTCATACCTGTCACTAAGATTTGGTGGGATAATTCTCAGGCTTAGAATGTGACTCCAGAAAGGTATACCTTCTTTAGAAAGAACACAATAAATAAAATCAGGATAGCAAAGGAGTAGGATTGCGTAGTAAGTAGATAGACTTATATCTGCAAATCCAGGAATCAGAAGGGTAAACAGTAGTAGAATATGTTTGAAACAAACAAAACAAAACAAAAAAACAGAAGCAAAAGAAAGTCAGTGTGGTGTAGTAAGGGGTTGGTTCCAATTCTTCCTCTGCTTCTTGTCAATTTTTCTTTGCAAAAGGTGCTAGAATAGATGACCATATCTGAGATAGCCAGACTGTGGGAAAAACCAACCACCACTAGGTTACCTTTCCTCCCTTTCCTCTACCTTCTACCTGGCTAAGGCCATCCACATCCCACCCAGGCTGCTTCAATGCCTGCATGGCTTGGATGAAATGGAAATTACCAGCTCTCTTCTTTCCAGTGAGATAGAGGATCACCAAGCTTTACCATCTGCCTTATCTCTTGTCTTCTAAGATCCTAAACGCCTAACCATCTGCTTTGACTCTCTGTCTTGTAAACCCTTTGGCACTGTCACCTGATTTAATGACATAAATTTAGAACCCTTAGAATTTGCCATCTGCCACTCTGCTGCCACCTTAGGATTCCTGGATTTTCTATCTGTCCTGCAGCTGAACATTTTTTTTAATGTGTTCTCTCTTCCAATTAGAGTGTGAGCACCTTGAAAAAAAGGGACTGTCTTGTTTTTTCTGTTTGTATCCTCATTGTTTAGCACAATGCTTGGCATCTAGTAATGGCTTTTTCATTCATTCATCTGTAACATTCCTTCTAGCCTCAAATTTATGATCTTATGAACTGGTGGCTAAATAGAAACAATAGAAACCTTAGTAAATAATGAAAATTCCACTTTACAATTTATGATAGTGTGAACTAAAGGAAAGCTTGGGCACAATCTGAAATGTATGTGCCTGGGATTTGACGAGGACAGATTTCAGTGGTTTTAGAGAAAATATAGGTAGGGTTCTGAGCCCTAAAATTCTACAAAGTAAGTCAGCCCGAGAATGGGAAACTCAAAAATGAAATTTTGAAGAAGAAAACAGAAACAGTACTACTGAAGAAAAGAAGGGGCCACTGCCTAAAGAGACTAATAATATAACTATACAGAGTACCATCAACCAGCTCAGTTTTTAAAGATGTATATAAGATGTAAGCAAAGACAGGTAATAGAAGACTAATAAAAAAGCATCTCGTGAACCTGTAAAAATTATGTCATGAGCAATAAAACTTAGAATGGCTAGAGACTGGTAATGAATATTAAGGACAATAGAAGGGACTTTTTTAGCTATGTTCGGGAAAAGAGCTGGCTCAAATAGAGGATAGGATCACTGCTCAGGGTGGATGGAATAACAACAGATGATAGAGTGCAGAGCTATTCAACTCTTCCTTATGCTTTTTTTTTTCCAAAGAAAATTTTCTTTGTAATGTAAAGTCTGGAAGAAGAAAGCTAATAGGGAATTAAAATCTACTGTAACTGAATCTATATGAATATGGTTACTACTTGCTTTTGGTGAGTTCAAGTTACTAGGCCCTAATAAAGAACCTTTAAGGTACTGTGAAAGGACTAGGGGCTCTGATTGATGGGCCTTTCATTGTCTTTGATCTTCAGAAGAGTTCCAGGAACATGGACGTGCCACAGAACAGGAGAAAGGCAAACGTCCTAATTTTCCAAAAAGAAAGAGAGTAGAAAGAATAGGTCAGTAAATGTCACCTCAATTTCTAGCAAAAACAGTGGATTTTTAAAAAAGACAGTGAACTCCTAGAAAAGGAAGTAGTGATCACAAAGAGCCAGCACAACTGTATGAAAAATGGGTCATGCCAGACTAACCTTATTTCCTTTATTGATAGATTTAGAAAACTGGCAAATAAGGGAAATGTTTTATGTTTTACTTAGAGTTCTGCAAAATGTTTGATAATTTATCTCAAGTGATGGTGAGATATGGGCTAGACTGATAGTACAATTAGATAGATTTGGCTTTAGTTAAATGGTTAGACTAAAAAATGTCAGGTTCCATATTCATTTAGTAGGTCTCCAATAGAATACCACAGTGCTTAGACCTGTGCTGTTTGCCAATTTTATGAGTGATTCTAATAAAGGCATAGACGGCAAGTTCATCAAATTTGTAGATGATGCGCAGCTGGGAAATATAGCTTGCTAACACATTGGATGAGAAAAGTTGGAATCCAAGAAGATCTTCATAGGATGGAGATTTTCCTTTTGTGTCTTTTAGCAATCATCAGCTGCTATCATTTTTGCAAATTTATGCATTACTTTATGGCCCCTTTACCTTGCTATATTCTTGCTAAATCTTACCCAGTTGTCTCAGGAAAATTCCCTTTCACTTCTTTTTATGGCTTTCATTCAAAACTTAGAGTGATTTTAAGTGTTTAATGAACACAAATTAACCTTTTTTTGTGGCTGTGAACACGTGACTTAGACATCTTTTTCCTTAGCATCTGTTTCCATAAGATAGTGCAGTGGATAGAGTGCTGAGCCTGGAGTCGGAATTGGGCAAGTCTCTTCACTTCTGTCTAGCCTCATTTCCCCGACTGTAAAATGGAGATAATAGATAGCATTTACCTTCCAGTGTTGTTGTAAGGATCAAATGAAATAATATTTGTAAATTGTTTAGCACGATACCTGATACAGAGTTGTTTGTCCTTCATTCTCAAAGAGGACCATGACATCAGGAAGGTGATGCCATGACATGCAAGTGAATTGGTTTTGAGTGAGAGAGGGCTGTGCAAAGTCATCAACCTCACTTTCTCCTCTGGAGCCATTTGGGTCCAGTGGCAAAATATAAATCAGGAAAATGGTCCTGGATGCAGTGGGAGACCTTGGTCTATTTAAAGCTAAGGTCTTTAACAGATCTCAGTTTGACTGAGGCATCACCCATTCAGTGATTAAAGCTAAGAGAGAAATGAGGCAGAGAATGGCCTCTTTTACCTAGTCAAAAAAAAAATCAGTCTGGGAATCAAGTGAGATAATATTTGTAAGTTGCTTAGCACAGTGCCTTGTATATAGTAGACACTATATAAATGCTTGTTTCCTTTCTCTTTCCCCTCTTTTCATTTTTTTCTTCTGTTTAAAAGTATATTGTTAAAATTTGGTTTTCTATTGGCAGTCCTTGATGTGTTAAAAAATAACAAAATGTTCTTTGTCTTAAAATAGTGAAAGAACCAACTAAATATTACAGCCATTTTTGGATACAACATAAATGTATCATTTTATATGCTTTAATTATAGACTAGAGAGCCTTTCTTAAATTATTTGAGGGATGAGGCAATTATCAGAATAAATGAGTGTTAATAATTAGAGTGATTTCTGTCTACCATTTTTCAAAATATGTTGTTTCATTGTACATGTTTTGTCTTAAAACAAGCCCTTCTGTAGATTTGAGGTTTAGATTTTAAGGTAAATATTTTTAAAATATTGGAATTAATTGTTAATTTTTGAGATGTAAAAGATAACTGGTAATACATTTAAGTAATAATATAATAGATATTGACATGTGATTAAAGTTAAAATGACATGCAAATTACAGTAATTTTTGAGGTCAAGGTGTTGAAAATGATAATCTTTAAAGTTTACAACCAAGTCGCTAGCACCAATTATGGAAATTTTATAACAAATGTATTTTTTGTTATGTTGTACAAACTTTCCTAATTAAATTCCTTAACAAAGACTTATTTTAGCTAGTTAAAAATGGCATTAGGCATTCTCCCTCTTATTTATTGAGTTGAAAGAGAAGAGGTCAAAATAATATAGGAGCAGATTTGAGACAATTATAATGTACAAGGCAGTGTCCAGCTTGCCTAAGGTACTTTTCCTTTTTTTGTATTTTACAAAATAATCTTAAACTATTTTAAGCTGCACTATCAGTATTAAATTTTTCTTCTAAAATAATAATCAGCAGTCAATCCTAAAGGTTTCCAGCATCAGCTTTCACTTTATAATGCATGAGCTTTACTGTAATATAAAACATTATGACATTTTAATTAGGAAAATAGATCATGGAACTCCACATGTTGGAATAAATTTCCTAGGCACTGCTGCTTGGGTATATTGCATGTTCTAAATTGGGATGAAAAATACATTAAAACTTGCCTAATTAGATCAGCTTTCAAAGTTGAGGGGTTTGAGAATGGTAATGGTGGAGGTAGGTGGCTTTTTAGAGTCTGTACAGAGAAAATGAATGCAACACTTTGATATTTCAGCAGAAAGAAAATTTTTATTAGGGTCCGTGGGCTACATTGTTATTTTCCATTTTTGTGTACTACAGGCAAAGGTGAAGATAGTGATGTACTCAGTATCAATGCTGACGCATATGACAGTGACATAGAAGGACCATGTAATGAAGAAGCGGCTGTGCCAGATGTCCCGGAAAATGTCAAAAGTGAAGCTGGTCAAATAGATGACCTCCAGAAGGACATTGAGAAAAGTGTGAATGAAATACTGGGATTGGCAGAATCCAGCCCAAAGGAATCTAAAGCAGCCGCACTGACTGTCCCTCCCTCAGAAGATGTTCAGCCTTCAGCGCAACAGCTGGAGCTCTTGGAACTTGAAATGAGGGCCAGGGCGATTAAGGCCCTGATGAAAGCTGGTGATGTTAAAAAAATAGCTTAAGGTTATTTCATTTTAATAAGCTTTTGTATTTCCTTGAAGGGAATAATGTCAGTTTATTTCAGTTATAAAATTTATTAGTATTTTATGTGACATTCCTCATTCAACCCTATTTTGCAAAGCCTGATCTTTGGCCAAAAATGCTTATATAGTTATTTTTTGTTGGTTCTACTGTGAGGCTTTTTTTTTTACTTGTGACTCATAAAGCTGGATTATTTGGACACTTTGCTAGATCAGTATTTATTTGGGCCTAGTTATTTTTTGGCATCCATTAACAAAGGGTCCCAGATTATATACATTTAAGTCAAAAATATGACTTAATGCTTCATAAAAATAATGACCAAGTAGGTTGCCTTTTAAGACTGCCTGCACTTTTTCAGTAAGAAGTTAAATTGTTTCCCTTTAAACTTCTTTACAGTTGAAAAATTCAGTTTTGTATATGCACTTTTAAGAATACCAGTGTCTTGAAGATGCCTTTTATTGATTTTTGAAATATTCTGATGTGGTGTTGCCAGGCTTCTCATTGGGTCCAAAATGTTAAGAATATGTATTTAGTTAAAGCTGAAAAACTATTTTTTGTACAATTAAATGCGTACTTAAAGATCTGAAGTGACTGAGGAGGAGCCTTTTTACATAGTAACATAAATCATTTTCCAACAAACAAACCACTTTAAAAGGTTTTTGGTTCTGTTGGACATTTTGTTGAGCTTCTTTCCTGATTGGGGGGAAAAATTCATTTACATTCCAAGTTATGAGTTAAAGAGAATATTTTGTTTTACCAGATTTTATCTGGGAGTTTTTGGTTGAAGATCTGCTGTGATAATTCATTCAATTTAAAAAAACAAAAAAGACTACTCTTCTGGGGATGAAGACTTTTTGATACTTTGCCAGTAATAAAGTTGTTTCATATCAGCGTGGAGCACTTTGATCACCTAATAATGTGACAATTACCCTCTAGTTTTGTAGCATTTATAAGAAAATTAACACCTTAATTTTATCTTTAGGATATACTTATTTTTCTTTAGCAATAATTTTAAAATTTAGTACAAAGCTAATTTGGGAGACTCTTGACTTAAAATAAATCAATTTTTACTGGAGTGGATACAGTACCTTAATTTTTATACTTGACTACAAATATGATGTTCACACAGGTTTTCTAACAGCAGAAAATACATGGAGCTGCATTTTTATTATGTAGCTTGTTTATTGTATGTTGGCATTGAGTTGATTTCCTATGGAAATAGATGACACTTACTAAACATATGTACTGCACATATTCATTATTGTTTTGGTTCCCCAAACCCGATTTTTTAAAGTTACCATATTTTTTATCCCTGAGTCATTTTAATGAAACTCAACAGCCAAAAATTTTTGAAACAGTTATCTTTAAATTGGTAAGTGTGGATATTAATTTGAATAACAGGTTCACAATGTGACCGGTTTAAGATGAAATAACATTGATTGAAGTAATCTTTTTTCTTGAAGTTGTAAAAGCAGACTAAGTTAAATACTAAGTTTCTATTAATCTAGTGCAAAATGAACTTTTAAAAAGCTTGCCAAATTATTAAATGAGATAGATGATATTGATAATGTTACTGTAACAAGAACTGTAGCAGTTTGAGTGACTCAAGGATGACAAAAATGATAGCCTTTAAGGACCATGATTTTTCATTTTATTCATGTTAGTCACTGTGGTTGGAGGACATTTGAGTGGAGTGGGTGAGTATGAGGTAGAATGCAATGAACGAATGAGAAGTAATCAGAATTATGCCCACAACAAATAGGTTCTCTATTTTCAGACATGTAGGTATGTGTGTGTGTTCATTTTCAAGTTGAAAAGGCTTGAAAACTCTAATAGTGCAAGGCAGTAGTTAAGCAGAAAAAGGCTTGTTTCAGAAATATTTTAAGTAATGGAGAAAGTTGAGTATAGATTTGTGGTGCCATATACCATCAGTTGATGATTTCGTATCGAGCTGTTAGGTATTCGGCATTGTTCAGAATTTAAACCCAATCATACTACAATAAACAATAAGCAGATGAATGCAGAAATTCTTATTTCTTAAAGATTAAGAAAAACCCTCTTGTGAAATGTTTCATCACATCTTTTGTGTGTTTTTTCTCAAATAGCTGACATCATATAGTAAGCCCCATTACCTCATGTGATCCTTACAATAACTCTGTGAAGTAAGTAGGTATTTTTTGTCTGGATTTGTGATTTTATTGTTGAGGGAACTCAGTATAAAATCATCCCCTTTGATGTAGATCAGTGACTTTTCTCTAACTGAAAGTCTTGTAGGGTTCCCTGGGACACTGAGAGGCTAAGGAATTACCCATAGTTACCCAGTCAGTAATATGGCAGAGGCAAAACCTGAACGAAGGTCTTCCTGTCTATACAAGTCTAATCCTCTGTCCACTCTTAAAAGTAAGTAGTTTGAGTAGTTTTGTCACTTTTTTATGGTTAATGAAATGAGCCCAGAGAAGTTGTGACTTGTCCAGAGGCGTAGAGCAGAGGTTCCCAAACTTATTTGGTCTACTGACCCCTTTAAAAAAAATTGCTCAGTGCCCAATTTCAAAAAAAATAAAAAATATTTTTTAAAAATTGTGCATCTTAAATTTAATAATTTATTGTAAATTTGTGGAGGTTTTCCTACATTGAAATTCTAATGATACTAAATATTGCATTGTGTAACCATATAATATTATATTGTAAACAAGTCATTACACACATACGTTCATGCCAGTACATGCTGGACTTCCCAACAATGCGCTACATGCTCACCTGCCAACACTTGCTTCTTAGGATCTTTTGGCGGACTTGACCATTGATTGGTTATAACTTGCATTTTGTGTGTTTATTTGGAAAATAATTTAATCGTTACGACTTCAACTCTGTTATATAACATATGAAACATGTATGAATGGTTTTTCAAAAATTTCTTGTTTCCTTATGCTTCCACAGCCCCCAAATTTTTATTCAGTGCCCACCAGTTGCACCCGAAGCTGTTACCACCCACTTGGATCATTCCAGTGCCCCCCAGGGGGCGGTATCACTCCCTTTGGGAACCTCTGGTAGAGCTATTACAAAACTTCAGAGCTGGTCTTTAAACCCAAGTCTTCCAGTTCCACTATGCTTCTTCAAGCTGAGTTGATCTGCTATCTTTAAGATAATTTTCCAGGCAAAATGAATTAGTAGTTAAACATAGTTAAATCTTATTCCCAAATTTATTCCCACTAATTTGTTAGTTTAGTAGCTTGATTAGACTTTCATTTGACTCAGTAGCTAAACTTTTAAAAATTGCTTTTCTTTTTTATTAACTTAACAAAGTTTAACATTTCAATAAAAGAACACTTTTTATGAAACTGGATTTGTGGTATAGTACAGAAGTAAAATAATGTGGTAGATAAAGAGCCAACCTTTGAGCCAAAGATTTTAGTTCAGCTCCCCACTCTGACATTACTAGCTTGGTGACCCCTTGGGAAATCACTTCACTTTTCAGTGCTCTAAAAAACTCTCAAGGACAGTAAGTTACAGGTAACATGTGGGCTTGCATTTCTAGAGAGAGTGCGCTCACTTGGGAGTTGCTTATACCAGTAAAATCATAGATCCAGCACTTGTCTATTTAATTTAACAGTATAGTAACAAAAATGGCCTGCTAGCTTAGTTGTTAATGGGCTATATGCTTTAATAAACAATCTCAGGTACAAGATCTTACTGATCTTTAGAACTCTCCATCCACCCACTCAAGTATACTCTGAAAACATAACAAAACATCTCCAAATCTTCTTGAAAATCATAACCCCAGAGTCCTTAACATTGAAGTAAACCTTTTCTTTCCATACTTTATCTTAAGAACCTACTTTCCATAAATGAGTTTTTTAAGGGTAATGATTTGGGCTGAGGATTTTCATTCCTATCACATATTACAGGCAGGACAGAAACTGAGGCAAGTGGCTCTAAGAATAATTTCTGAACTATTTTGGTAATAAAGTTAACTCATTTATTAATGCCTGTTTAGACCTAATAATGAAAGGTATTTAGAAATGCTTCCCTAATCATTTTAAAAATTCTCATTTCTGTTCCACCATGAAAAATTAACTTAGAAGACATTTTAACTTGAGATTTTAATTATTTTATAAAAGCAGTGAGCAGTGGTCAGGAGACTAAGACTTGAACTACCTGGGTTACTAAATAGGTATAATGTTTTACAAGTCACCTCAAACTCTCTAATTCTCACATTCTTGACCTGTAAAGAAAGGGGGTGAGATGATATGATTTCTCTGGTGCCTTCCAATTCAAATAGTATGTAATTCTAATACACTAAAATTTTAGAAAACTGAAATTCCTGAAATATTTTTGATCAGGCATATGTGAGGTAAGTTGATTTTGTTTTTCAAACTAGGAATGAGATAAAATGCTGCATTAGATCACATTTTGCCCCTAAATCTGGCTTTAATAAAACATGAGTGTGTAAAATAATATTTACGTGTTTTTGGAAGCATTTAAAAATTTTAAAAATAACTTATAATTTTAGCCTACATTCAGAGCAATATGGTATTTATACAATCATAGAATCTTAGAACTTGAAAACCTCAAAGATCATCTCATCCAACCCCATTCACCCTAATATTCTCTAGGGGGAGAGCTTGAGCCTGAGAGAAGTGAAGCCCCACAGGAAGTAATCTTTATTTGCCTTTCTTCTTCCACCTTTGCCCCAGGTTTGATGCTGAATGTGTCTATAAAATTAAAGATGGTTCCAATAGCCTTGTAATTTAATTGCATTATTTAACAATGTAATTACAGTGTCCATTATGAGGATGGCTTTGGTTGTATGTTCCCTAGAAATGGGCTACTTTGGTCTGTAAGCTTTTATCAGTGTACATCATCTTTCTTGAGTCTTGTTTTCTACTCACAAGTGATTCTGTACTAATTCCAGGATGAATGAATTTTTAGGATCATTCCTATTTCTGTGATACCTTGTTTGTTTCTCCTTCCAAAGATAATGTGAGTACCATATAGATGGCCAACCAACCTAGGTGTATTATTATTTTCTATGATATATTGGAAATTTCATAATATCCTATCAGGGCTTCTTATGCATTTTCCACTTGTGACCCCTTCAGCACTTCTTAAACTCTATGAGGTTGTGACCCACAGTTTAAGAAGTGCTGTTCTAGATCATAAGATCACAGGTAAGAGTTGAAAGGAACATCAGATGTCATCCAATCCAGTACCTCTCCCTGGCCCCTGAGGCCTAGGTAGGTATGTGACTTCTCTAAGGTTAGACAGCCAGTATTTCCCAGTCCCTGATGCCAATTCGATTCCAATTCGAGTGTTCTTTCAACTTCACCAAATTGCTTCCTATTATATTATTTTCTGTAGAGCAGAATTTACAATAAGATGGGCCTATTCTTGACTGCAGGTTTTTTTTTTATTTTACGCTAATGAAGTATGGAATGGGGCTTATTATAAAGCTACTTTGATCTATCAAACCTGGCCATGAGCTCTTGAGCTATTTCAAGAATTCATGGAGTGAGTAGTACCATATTAGTCCACATACAGGCCTCATGCCTAAGAAAAGATTTATTTGAAAGGAAAAAAGAATGGAAATACACCAAAACCACTTAAAATTACTGTATTAAATATTTTTATTGTGCAAGTCTGTTGTGTGAATAGGGTTTGAGTGGATGTCTACTCTGAAGCTACCCCCATGAGGTAATGTCCTAGAGGACTTGTTGGGGCAAACTCTAAATCTGATAGAGTTAACAAAATAAAAAGGTTGTTCCTCCCAAATGTATATTTCTTAACTAACCTTTGCCTCTAGAGAGGCTTGAGATGGGGCAGACAAAGGCCAATTTGAATGTGATGACTGGCTTCACTCAGGCTTTGTACAATCTAGATTTGGGAAAATATATTAATGTATATTTAGACCCAATAAGGTTTATTTCTTATTAAAATAGCATGATATTTAAGTGTTACTCTAAATGTTCTACCAACAGGCAGTAGTACAATGTTTTATTTGGGTGGTTCTTAGCTGTAATGAAGGTTTGTTTTATACATGAGGCAAGAAAGGTAATCAAAATTGATGGGAAAATGAAA